TCAGTCCCTTAAGGCGGGCCAAACTCCTTGTTACTGTCTTGGCACCAACCAACCATTGTCCATCCATGTTTGTAATTCATGCTCGTACTCCTCTCTCATCTCGGTGGATACTGGATACTCAGAGATCCGATTCTGAAGTTTCCTGGTGCATGACCTGCCGACCACTTCAGGCTGCGACCCAAACTCCCTGCCGTTCATTGAATTTACTTTACTGAAATCGGCTTCGCTGATACGAATCGCTGCACAGACGGACCGTGGTTTTTCAAACTCCACGCTTCCATGCTGCGTGATCACGAACTCCACCGAGTGCCTTAATGGCGTCGATGCCAAGCAACAGGTTGAAATCCAGGGGTTTCCCTCGCATAACCAGCACATCGATTGTAGCAGTATTACCAGTTGCTGTGCAAATTCTGGACGGTGCCCTTTCCACAGCAAGCCTGCGTGGCTCGGTTAAGGTAGATACCGCCATACCCTGCTTCGATTAAGACCGACATAAACTTCGCGCTCAAGATTGACCATGAGCACCCTGAATCAAGGAGAGCCGAGCATGGTGTGCCGTCAACACACACAGTAATGATGGGTAGCACCGAGTTTACTTGCTGTTTGGGGAGTGGACGGCGCTGAAGTCTGTCCCCGCCTCCGTTTCCCGGACAATTTTTGGCCAGATGACCGATCTTGTTGCATCGATAGCAACGTGCGTTAGTTGCCCTTCGCCTCTTCATGCAGTCCCTCATGAAGTGATTGGGCCCATTACATTCATAGCATGTGACAAGTGGGCCCATGTCTGGGGAAAGAACGGGGGAATCTGGGAGGGCTGCACCGCAGCGACGACTAGTTCCCTCTCTGCTGTCTCGTCCTTTATGATTGCCCGAGCTGGGCCACAGCTCCTCGAGAGACATATCATCCCGCCCTGGCCCGAGGACCGCAGGAGCCTTTTCACAGGATCAGGAAGCCCCCGCCACGAACAACACGCATGCCATCGCACTGTCTGGCACTCCTCCAAAAAAGGCGGAGAGCTTCCATAGATCAGCCAAATATACATCTACGGTCTCACCGGACGTAATATCGTGCCTCAATTGTTCGTATGCCGTGGAATTTATCAGGGGCAAATGCTGTCATCAATGCTCCCTTGATTAGAGCCACGTCCGATTTCTCTTCCGTAGATAGTTGCTGGTAAACCCCGCGAATGCTCCCCTGGTTAAGCGAAGGGGGATGACACGATCAAGCCGCTTCACTCCCGATAGGTCGCACACCAATTCAATTTCTCGAACCATTCAACCACAGATCCAGTCCGTCAAACTCGGGAATTATCTTTAAATCAAACCGGCCGTCCATGTTTGCGAAATAGCTTGTCGTATGTCCAGAAGTCGTTTTCTGTCTGCAATCCGTCTAGTCTCGCCAAGCCTAGAAAAGCAGTGACCTCCCGTCCACTCGCCGGGTTTTTAATCGGTGGCGTGGTTCTCTTATGCAAATAAGTCTGCTGCATAAAAATGGCAGTAGGCGCCTGCAGCGACCGACTCTCAGAGAATGGTTAGACATGCGAGGCAACGAATTCGCTTTGCTCCTGGTAAGTCACTGTCACTCCTATTACATAATGAAATAGAAGATTTACTACACAAAAGTCCAGTTAACAATGGACCTAATGCTAACTCTGCTCAACTCTGCTTATTTACATAAATGAATGATTCCATTCATTTATATCCTATATGACAGTCCCTTCAGAATGTGGGCAATCATGGCTCACCACAATTTCTTGTCCTTTGTAGCTCTTAGTAAATTTTGTCTTTTTGCTATCTCTACTAAACCCTGTTCTGCCAAACATTTACACAAGCCCATTCTTCTTCTAGATGTCCCTTCAGGATGTGGCCGATCATGGTTCTCCACAATTTCTTTTCTGTTGTAGGTTTTAGTAAATTTTGTCTTTTGACTATCTCTCCTAATCTCTGTTCTGCCAACTGTTTACACAAACCCGTCCTTCAGGACGTGGACGATCATGGCTCTCCACAATTTCTTTTCATTTATACCTCTTCTTAAGTTTTGTCTTTTTGCTTTCTCTCCTAATCCCTGTTCTGCCAACCATTTACACAAGCCCATTCTTCTTCTATATGTCACTTCAGGAGGTGGACGATCATGGCTCTCCACAATTTCTTTTCCTTCATAGCTTTTAGTAAGTTTTGTCTTTTCGCTATCTCTCTTAATCCCAGTTCTGCCAACCATTTACACAAGCCCATTCTTCTTCTATATGTCTCTTCAGGAGGTGGACGATCATGGCTCTCCACAATTTCTTTTCCATTATATGTTTTATTAAATTTTGTCTTTTCGCTATCTCTCCTAATCCTAACAACCATTTATTTCTTATTTCTTATTTTTCTTCTTCTTCTTCTTGCTATGTTCCTGTTGTATCTCATGTTTTTGAGATAACAGATGGAAATAAATAAGGAAGACAAACTTGTTGATAAGTAATGAAATAGAAGATTTACTACACAAAGCTACACTTAACAATTGACCTAATGCTAACTCTCCTCAACTTGGCTTATTTACATAAACGGATGATTACATTTATCTCCTATATGACATAATGTTTCCCCAAGATGGTGCAACAAGTGCTTATAAAAACTATTTTTCATTGTAATAAAATATAACAAAAATGAATTAAAAGACACAGGTTAAAATTTAAAATGTTTAACTAAGAGTTTTAGATAACTTAAGACTATTAGATTTATTACTCTTAGGTGTAAACAAACAATATGGCATAGAGTAAAATCAAAGAAGGAATAATATAGTGAGATGGCACATTTTGGTTGGTTTCTGTAGCCTAATTGATAAAGTGCTGCCATGGTCAGACATGCTTCCAAAGATAAGAGCTAAGTTAAATTCTCAAAAGCTAATTGATTTTTATCCATGCTGCTTATTTTTTAGTCACAGAATATAAAATGACTTGAACTTTATAAAGAAAAAATATACTGGAAAGAAAAACATGTCATAAATTGTTTTTTTTTTAGTATGTACAAAGTTAGAAACACAGGAGGTTGGTAAGAACAAGTACAATCATCTTTTATGTGTCAAGTCCGTTCAGGATGTGGGCGATCATGGCTCTCCACAACTTCCTGTCTTCTGTTGCTCAAATTGTTACATAAATGTGTATAAAACTAAGAAACGACTCATAAGGTCAATTACTACCAGACAGAAACCATGGCAACAAATAACTCAACACCACCCACCTATTTTCAGTCTTGATAAAACTGAAATCAGCAGAGAAACAGGTCATAAGGAAAGGGCTCGCTGATTGGCTGAGAGAAGACATGTGGCGGGTGAATGCCCCTTGTGCCAAAAATACAAAATTATAAAAGATTCAGTCATTGTTTCTTATAAATTACAAGGGAAGATAAAGATGTTTGGAGGCCACCCAATCATCACAGAGAGGAATATGGGAGAAGAATAAAAAGAAAGAGGAAGAAGGAACTTTCATTGAATTATGCTTGTTATTTTGTGGACAGCAGAGGTGTCTATGATAAAAATGAAGTGAAGAAATGTCGTTCACCAATTTTATTAAGAAAAGACAGAGAAAAGAAATGAAAGAAGAGATAGCTCTTGTCATGATCGCTGTTTACTGCTATGAAAGAAATAACCATGAACTGTCGCCATCACTATGATGCCACAATTATAAATAAGTGAACATTGATTAACCTCACGCCTTTATCCCCTCATTTTGTTTTAATCTCTTGCATACATATATGAAGCTGAAAACATTGTATTTTGCACACATCTTGCCACAGTTAAATGTTGCCCCAAATTGTTTTCTTTTCATGATAAACCCTTTGTTTCATTGATGTTTGTTTTCACAGTCAAGTGAATAAATATTATTTCATTGTCTTTTGGGTCATTTGTCATTCTTGTCGCTTCTGGGGTTTCAGCCTCAACAAATCTTTTTTGTTTTTTTAAAATGTGTTCAAGTAGTTCTCTAAGGAGACGAATGAATTCATTTTTATGTGAAAAGTAAATCACAGGTCCTGATGTGGTCCTAGTTTGCGACAAAAGTAATATTTGACCTTTTACTTTTCTTCTTTGTCATTTTTCTCCATCGATTCATACAAAATCAATAAGTAGGTTCCTTTGGCTTCTCTCTGCTTTCATGATGTGCCTTGTGAGTTATAATATCTATATGCCTTCTTTCTTCATATCCTCCTGTTCTGTCTATGATATTGTCAAGTTTTATTGGTAGAACGTCTATTTTTTCTCTTCATTTCTTGTCATCTATAAAGAAATTGTCCAGTATTCCCTGCTATATGAAATTTTCTTATTTTTTTAATACTTTGCTTAGTTTCTGAAAGGCCTCTTACTATTTATACAGTTATCACTGCTATATAAGAAATAAGATATTATGAAGGAGTTCAGTGCTTTTGTCTTCTTTTTTTTTATCGGTATCACCCCATGCAAGGCAGTAAAGCCACTAAGACACAAAGGGTTACAGGGTGTAGAAGAATTAGAAACAGAAACATTAATAATGAGTGGAAAGAGAAAAGAGTAAGCAGGAGGATAGTAGATAGCGATTGATTCTGCATTTAAATTTTTTCAGATTAAAGTTGACTGGAAAGCATGGAGCTGGAAGGAAGTTCCACAAGTGAGAAGTGCAAGAAAAGAAACTGTTAGCATCGAACTTAAGGTTACATCAAGCCGGCTCAACTGTAAATTGATGAGATCTCGTTGCCAGTCCAGTACTGTGCTTAAATTTAAAGCATCTAGGTACCATAGCGAAGAGCTCATCCGAACAATTACCAAGAAAATATTTATAGAAAAGACATAGAGATGTAATTTCTTATCCCTTAATACTTTGCTTAGTTTCTGAAAGGCATCTTGTTATTTTTATGTGTTCAGTTTTCTGTGTCAAATTTTCTCTCATCTGTTACTCTACTACCCAGATAGTTAAAATTTTACAAAGGTTAGAATGAACAACATGTATTCAACATTCTGTCAGTTGTTAACTGTCTTTATTTTAATAGCGATCAAAGACCAGCTGAATACAATTGAGGAGTGTGGGTTGCCTGTTGACCAGCCAGCTGCTTTGGTGAGACAACTTGCTAACATTGTGGAACAAGAGATGGGAGGATCTTCAGGGGCAGTAAGTAATTATCATTATCATTCTGCTTGTTCCTTCATGAGCATGTATGTTACGGCCTGCCAATACCTCATAAATAATCAACTATTCCGTTTTGCTTCTCAGTTAGTGAAAAAGAACATAAAGGAGATGATAATGCTCTCATGTGTTTAATGTCTGCTTCTGTGAAATGGAGAACCTTGTCAATTTTAAATCTTTCTCATCTGTACCTTTTTACTTTTTTTTTTTTTTTTATTTTCCATGGGTATTTTGTAGTCATTGCAATGAACTTAAAAATCCAATATCTATATAATAAATGTCAATGTGTCGTTGTGTCACACTTTTTCAACTTTATTCTTAGAGGCCCTAGCCCAAAATATCATACCATTTTGGAATCAGGCTGACTCTGGGGACAAATCAAAAACATTCTCAGCTAGATCTGGACACACAATCCTGAAATTCTGGATTCCTAAGTTTTCATTACTGTGATTGTTTTTGGCAATTTTGTTTATTTTTTTATTTTTTTTTTGCAACAAATTTTTTGTACAATAACAATTTTTATAACTTGGAAAAAAATTTGTCAGTAATCAAAATTCATTTCGAAATCCAAAAAAAAGTCACCCATGAAATAAAAATAATTATTTGTACAGAAAGTAAGGACCTACGTACATCAATTTGTTTTTAAATTAAGTGCAGCAGAAGAATTATAGTTGAACTTTTAAAAAGTGTTGTAGCCTGTTTAGAGGCCAGAAAGAAAGACATGGAAGACGAAGGTAGGTTGAACAAGTATATTGAAATAAACAGATATCTACAAAGCAAGAGTGTTAGTAAAAAAGCAGAGAGAGGTGTACGTCCGAACGGTAGGTTAGCACTGCCTTCTACTACCCCACTCACCTGACTCTCGCAGTATTTATGAGAGGAGGAAGAGTTCATTCTACTGTAGGAGGGTTTACAACAACAAAAAGTAAGCTTAAATTTTAATGCAATATTTAAATGCAGTAATCAATTTTGAGTTCTTCTATAGTTTATTGTTGCCTATTGCATTTACTCCTTCCTACCTATTGTGATGAAGGTCCAATTAAGAGCCCTCCGCAGGGGTTAGCCTAAATGCCACCTGATAGGGTGGATTTTAAGCTAGTTAAATAACATAATACATTAGAAAATTTAAATAGAAAAAGCTTGAAATTTTCATGGGTATATCTAGGTTTAATTAATTTTAAATTTAAATGTGTTTGTGCGTGTGTTTGTGTGTATGGTGTGTGTGTGTGTGTGTTTAAGGAAATTCCAAGTGGCATAATGATTATCAATACCCAAAAGAAAATTGACAAAAAGTTTGAATTTCAATTAAGGCAGTTTTTATTCATTTAACACTAATCCTGGGGTGGTAGCACCTGTTATACCAAAATGACCAACAATTCATTTCATCTATAGTTGTAACCATAAAATTGTGTTTAAAATATTTAGATTTTGCCATAGAGGTTGATATGCCGCTAAACAAAATCAACCAACCAGCAATACATATAGTAAAATGACCAACAATACAATTTTATCTGTAGCTGAAGGCATACAATCACGTTCAAAATTTATTTAGTTGAATCCATAAATTTTTTTTTCAAAATATTTAGATTTCAACATTAAATAACACATAGAAGTGTTGATATACCACAAAACAAAATCAGCCAACTTTGTTTTGTTGCATATTTATTTTCTTGGCACATTACTTTTAGTTTTCTGTCCAGATTCTTTATTTTTACAAATGACTACCCCTATATGAGAACCAAGAGCCTCTCAAGTTAGAGGGTTACTGTGTCATGTTTTATGAGCGTAAGAAAAGACAAGAAGTGTATTTCATAAAGTTACATAGGAAAGATCATGGTTAACCCTAAATATTACATGGTCATGATTATAGTGATCAGGAAATTGTGTATGTGGCTTGGTAGGTCCAAGTTGTGAGGGTCACTGCTGGTAGAACTAAGGGGTATCACTCATCAGAACATTTGCCATGGAAATAGCATTGACACCATCTGTGGTCTACATGTATCTTTTGATTCTATAACGGTCTTGTTTAGCTGCAAATTTTAAATACATCTTGCTGGGTACAACTACATTCAAAGGAGTTTCTATAACACTTTCCGTTGTTTTCATTGACTGCTTTCTTGTTGAAGATATGCTGGTATTTACTTACCACCTCATTGTGGTAATGATACTTGGATATTTGGCTGACAGACATTTGGCTGATGAACATTAAACTGAATGGACATTTAACCAAAAATGTAGTAGTGTACTTACATGTGTCTGTCACACTCTTTATCATAATCTGCGACATATATTTATATTTATTTACTGTATTGATTCATAATTTTTCATTTTCTTTCACATGCTTTTTTAAAAATCTATTTTGTATATATTCTATTTTACTTCAAATATTACTGTAAGATGATAAGTATTTTGAGAAAAAGCACATTTTACGATATGAAAGATCTTTCAATTTCGTTTTTAATGATCATTATCTTAAAGGGATGAACTAGCTTTTATCTTACTGTTAAATACGAATTTAAATAATTAGGTGCTAATTTTTACCTAAATCCACTCAGATCATTTTAAAAATACTAATTTCATTACATAAATATTGAAATAAGAAAACTTTAAATTTACATTTAGTAATTTAATCACTTGAAATTCAGTGTTAATTATTAGTCCTATTCTATCTTATAATACTGCTAATTAAAATAATTAAAGTATTACTTGTTACTATTTCTACTTGTACTTTTTTGGTGAAATGTCCGTACAGCCAAATGTCCAGCTACATTGGTAAGATGTGACATAAGGTCAGTTTAATGTGTGTTGCCACACACACATGCCAAGGATAAAGTTTTTCATTTCCTACAATCAGTATCATGCTGCTGTTGTTATCCACCAACCATATCTCTTTAGTATAATACCCTTGGCCTAGGCTTCCTTCATAGTATAGTGAAGAAGTAAACACTTATTACGCTTTCATCCAAGCCCAACAGCTGGGAAAAAGGAGGGCCTGTTTGAAAGTGGGAGTCATGTTTCCTTTCAGTTAACCAAGTCCAACATTAAGTTTTGCATGAATTTTTTTTAGCTGCAGATTAATTTGTATATTTACACTTGTGCTGGTATTTGTTTTTAGATATGAAAATTACAGGCTGCTTCAATAATATTGTTTTGTGTCATATGTGATTTGTATATCTGATGTGAAATAAAAATAATTGGACAAACATCGTCTAAGTACGGTGATTGTATAATTTATGCCAGAGATTGTAGTTATCAGTCACTTCCTGAATTTATATTTTAAATTCCATCCTAATAGTTATACGAGCTCTTTCTACATTTGGTATTTTTATTCTTATATTTCATCCTATTAGTTTTTTTTTTTTTTTTTATCAAAATTAACCCCAAGCAAGGCAGTAAAGCCACTAAGACACAAGGAGTTACTGGATGTGAATGAATTAGAAAATAGAAAGCATTACAAATGAGCGAGAACAAAAAAAGTAATCATGAAGACAGTAGATAATGATTGAAATTGCATTTAAATTTTTGAAGATCAAAATTGGCTGGAAAGCATGGAGCCAGAAGTGAGTTCCACAAACAAGAAGTGTGAGAAAAGAAACTATTAGCATAGAACTTATGGTTTACATCTCAGCCAGTCGAGCTGTAAATTGATGAAGCCTCATTGCTAATCTAGTACTGTGCTTAAATTCATAAAGTCTAAATAACATAGCGAAGAGCATTATTTATTTGTAGAATTTACAAAATGTGGCACATGGTCAAAATGGGGAATGGGGGGAAAAGGATGGTCTTCTTCTGTCTTAATATTAAACTTAACTAACCACAAACACTGACTTAAACATGCAACAATATTCATAACACCAAAACAACACATTTCCTTTCTTACTACATCCACCATAATACCTCATTGTCTCTATGAAAATCCTAACTAGTCCCCATATGTACAATTCATTGTCTATTGAAGAGCAATATTTATTCTGCTATGTACAGAAATGTGGCACATAGCCAAAATGAGGAACAGGGAAAACAACAGTCTTCTTCAGTTTTAACTTTAAACTTATCTAGCCACAAACACTGACCCAAACATACCACAATATTTCTTACACCAAAACAACGCATTCTTACTTACCTTTCTTACTACATCCACCATAATACCTCATTGTCTCTATGAAAGTCCTAACTAGTCCCCATATGTATAATTTCATTGTCTGTGGGAGGAGGGGGGAATAAAATAATAATTTTAAAAAATTTAAACACCAATGAATATTTGCAAATTCTAGTGAAGAGCTCATCCAAACAATTACCATGCAAGTATTTATAGAAAAGGCACAGGGAAGCAACTTTACAATGATGGGAAAGTGACTGAAGCAGAGATGCCTGGTCAGGACCAATAATATTGCTGGTTCTCCTTTGGATTTTATCAAGAATCTCTAAATAAATAGCAGGGGCACTGAATCATATGTGACAGCAATATTCTAAGCATGGGTGAAGGGTAGACAGATTTCTGGAGAGAAAAATTGTCTAGCATTATACAGTGAAGCAACTTTCTTAGCATCTGACCTAGTAATGGATTCAATATAGTCTTTCTACTTCATGTCAGCCTAGAATGTTAACCTGAGAAGGCGCATTGAGTCACTCTGCTAGAGGTTAGCATCAGTCATGCCAATAGAAGGCAGAGAGGGGATCTCTCAAATGATTAACAGAGGTTTTAGAAGCATTAAAATTAACAAGCCATTATTTGCCTCAGTTAAGATCAGCTGCCAATTTGGCCTCATTGAACTGAGTCGCTTCTTAAATTTTCATTTTTATTCTTAATTTCTATCCTGATAGTTATACAGTCTGTTCCTGAATGGTGCTGCCAGAGTTTTGAGTGAACATTCCAGTGATCCAACTTTCCAAGTCTGGTGCAAGGCTTTCAATGCAGGTCTTGAAGGAATAATGAAGTGAGTTCTGGAATTTTATTTTTAAGTTAGTCTCATTATTTACATTATTCGGACTATTGTCCTCATCTTTGTCGCCATATTTATTACGTTTTGGCCCTTCAGTATCTGTCTATATTTCTGAGATGAGGCATTATGTACACTATTTACATTATTCGGACTATTGTCCTCATCTTTGTCACCATATTTATTACAACGTTTCGGCCCTTCAGTATCTGACTATATGTCTGAGATGAGGTATTATGTACACTATTTACATTATTCGGACCATTGTCCTCATCGTTTCGTCCCTTCAGTATCTGTCTATATTTCTGAGATGAGGCATTACGTACACTATTTACATTATTCGGACTATTGTCCTCATCTTTGTCACCATATATATTACAACGTTTTGGCCCTTCAGTATCTGTATATTTCTGAGATGAGGTATTATGTACACTGTTTACATTTTTCGGACTATTGTCCTCATCTTGTCGCTATATTTATTATGCTCCAGCCTTCTTCCTTGAGGACACATGGCACAGTGGATAAAGGCATTAGTTAGATCCAGTGACAGGACCCAAAGAGTGTGAGTTCAATACCTGATTAAGGCAGTGGAGAACTTTCAGAGGGAAATTAACAGGAGATAACTGATAACTTACATCCATCAAACATGGCACGTGGAACTAGAACAGTCTTCCTCAGTGAGCGAAATAAAGGGTTCAGTTCGACATTCCAACAACCTGAAGAAGGCGGACATAAACGGCCTTGAACGTTGTAATAAATATGGCGACAAAGATGAGGACAATAATCCGAATAATGTAAATAATGTACATAATAACTCATCTCAGAAATATAGACAAATACTAAGTTATTCTCATTTATTTTTTTTTTAATAATTTCAACCAAGCAAGGCGATAAAGCCACTAAGACACAAGGGGTTACTGAGTGTGAGAGAATTTGAGAAAACTATATTAAAGAGAGAGGTCAATAAAAGAACATTTTGTGAGAATGTTGATTCCAGATGATCTTTTGTCCTTAGTAAGATGATAAACTGCATCCAACAGCAAGCCTCTGATCAGGTGTTTTTGAGGAGTGTAGAACCACCTCTTAATTGCTGTTGTTCCTGGTGTGGTAGCACCTGTTAGGGTTCCAGCTATGGGCAAATAGTTAACCCCCAAAATGGGATCAAAACACTATGAAAGTGTAAAAATATGTACTATCAATACATTTTTGTAAAAATTGTTACCAGCAATACATTTTTTTTTAAAATATTGCCGGCAATACATTTTTTGAAAAAAATATTGCCAGCAATAAAATCTTGTCAGCATAAAACAGACCAAACCAAACCATCTTTGGTCAAAGTGTAGCAACTGTTCATCACTTTCTATGACATGACATAATTGTAACAATACCAAATGGGGGAAAAATATTTTGGCAAATGATGTCAAGAATTATAATGTTAAATGATTTAGTTTTTGCCTTGCTGTGTTTTAGATTATGTGTTCTTTGGTCTAATATGATATGATGATATGGCTGAATTTCAATCCCAGTATGTGGCTGTGTTAGAAAGCATGTGAAAACCATACCACAATTTGAAATTGAACATGGGCGTGTGTGATTTTTATAATACTATTGGCTGATGAATATTCATGAGTTTGACATGTATTTAAAGATTCACTGTTTTGTAGTCTCTAAGTATCTAAGGATACATATCACGCATGGCACATAACTGACTGAAGGAGGCATGGTGGAATAATGGATAACAGCTCAAATTAAGGAATCAGAGAACTGAGTTTGAATTCCAGTCAAATCCATTACATTCTCTTACATACCCTTGGGAGAGGTACGAATATTCTTCTTCTCCCAGCTATGGGTAAATATCAGTACAGACCAGGTTCTGTAGCCTTGGATGGCAAGTGGTCTACAGCAGAAAGAAATGGCAACCTACTGCGGGGAAAAAAATCTGCCTTGTCAGTCATGTATCAAAAGAGACATGATCGCCTAAGCATGTATCATGCATGGCACATAACTGACTGATCTACTACTATTAAAACTGGATAATGGATAGCGGCTCAGATTGAGGAATCGGAGACCTGAGTTTGAATTCCAGTCAAATCCATTATATTCACTTACGTGCTAATACTCTTGGGAAAGGTATGAATCTTCTTCTCCCCCCAGCTATAGGTAAATAGCAGGACAGACTGGGTTCTATAGCCTTGGATGGCAACTATTCTAGGAGAAGGACAACTCTGAATTCAAAATCTGATCCTCCAGGTTGGGGGTTGTACAGTAGGCTAACAACCTACTCACTTAAAAAAAAACAAACAAAAAAAAACTGGCTTGTTATAGAAACAATAACAGTATCTTGCAACCCTATCTTCCTCAAGGAATTTAAAGGCATAATATATATATATATATATATATATATATATATACAAGTATATAATTGGTATATAGGGAATGATTTCCAATAACCAACAATTACTATTCTTAAAAGAGTGCTCAATACAAAGTAGAGCAGATATAATTATTATTTATAAAAAAATTATAACGTAAATATGTTATAAAATCACTACAAAAATAGCCATTTTGTTTCAACACCATCATCACTTGATAAGACACCGAAGGTGTTGAAACAAAATGGCTATTTTTTGTAGTGATTTTATAAAATATTTATTTTATAAATTTTAATATTATATTATATATATATATATATATATATATATATAGAGTTAAAATTGAAAATTTCTGTCCCACAGATTTTATTCTGTTTATTTGAACCATTTAACAATGGCTCAAAAATGACAGAATGTTTCTTTAAAAATGCTTCTCTCTCTCAAACATTTTTCTTGCTGATTTCACATAATATTTTGTAATGTTAGCCAAAATAAATAAAATCTTCAGTGCCATTTGTTTCTTTTTTGTAGGTTCAGGGTTTTCGCATGGATCAGCAGCTAAATTTGCTGACCCCATTTTTTATTCTGGTGAAATCTTTTTTGTTTTAGGTATGGTGGCGCAAAACCAGGTGACCGAACCATGGTAAGTTTCCATCTGGTTATTTAGATGTACTCACTTGAGACAATAATGGCATCTCGGGTTATTGGGGAGTAATTGACCATGGTTAAGTGTCTACCACTTCGTCCCCAGCCCCTCAACCTCTGGCGTCTTCCTCTTTGGGTTGAGGTGTCCACTCGGTCTGAACCGAACTTAGAGGTAACTGGCCGTACGCTCCCTGAGTACCCGTAGAGTATTTCGACCAGTCAACTGGTCAAGTCCTGCTTGCTGCCCACGCTGTGTTAGTTTTTAGATCCAGTAAGCGGGGTGTTGTCCATACGTTCACGGTCGACTGGTGGTGTGGACACGGCTGTGAGAGTTGGCGGTAGGAAGTTTAGAATGTGGCAAAATAAAACAAAAAATAATATCTGCAGAAGCCAGACAACAACGTCTTTTATATAAGAAGATAACATCAGAACAGAGGTTACAGGGAGAATAAAAACATTTAACATAAATGAGAAAGGAAAAAAAAGGCCCAATGCATCCAGCAAATTCCAAACAGAGGGTTTGTGTGTGATAAATGCGTATTGAATCGCCTGGGGTAGTAGTCCAGTCTCATACAGACTTCTCAGAACAGGGGGCAGTCTTCCTTCTCTAATTCTCCCGCAAATTTCTCGTGACTTTCTCAATGACGGTCTCGTACCCCAACTCTCTCTCCCGTCTGGCCTCTTCTGTCTCACTTGACCGTCTGCTTCTTCCGCATAACTACACTGGTTTATATAGATAAATCTGTTTGATCATGAATTGACCCTTGGCCCAACACGTGATTATCATGAGTGCCAAAAACTATCCCTTGACATGTAAACCGATACTCCAATTAATTACCACGAGTTCTTCTCGCTTCCCCAAAATTATACTTTGGGATATCTAAACATTGATTCAACCATTTAATCAAAACAAATACCTGTTAAACAAAACCAAATATCTCATAGCCTGAGTAAGCTCTATTTCAATTTTTAACCGATACATTTTATTTAGAACATTTTTCATTGTCTTTTCTAATGATCCAGATTTAAAACATCGCCTCCTGCCTGAGATCGTGTTTCTCATCAGTAAACACACATCTTAACCCAAATTGTACTTTGATATATAAACACCATTTCCACTTCCAGTCAATAAAAGTTATATTTGCATGTGTGCATTCATGTGAGTGTGTGTGTGTATACCTCTCTCTGTTACAAGTGTAATTGACAAAATTCTCAACAATTGAAAAAGATCTCTATAAATAATAACAAAGAGAAGAAAGGAAGAGGCTATTTTACTGATCCTGGTAAAATAGACAAACATGCTTTTAAGCTTATTTTACCTGTTTCAGTAAAATAGACCCACCAGACTATTTTGCCGGTAAACATTTTTATTATAATGGAGGCAGAAATAACACAGAAGTTTATTTATTTTCACCCTCAATTGTGAAGACAATTGAAAATCTTTTCCATCATCAATTGTTTCAACCTTTCAGCTGGTCTGTCTTTCTCAGACTGGTCTAGACGTCTTTGTGCTGGCACGAGGTTATACACTGGTTTGGATGGTCACTAATGTACTTGCATTATTTACATTATTCGGACTGTTATCCTCATCTTCATTGCCATATTCACAATGTTTTGGCTGTTGTACACTCCGGCCTTCTTCAGGTGATTGGAATTTCGAACCAAACCTTTTATTTCGTCAATAATTCTTTTGGTAGATTGTTCTAGTTCCATGTGCCATGCCTCTTCCGAATGTCTCAGTTATTTCCCTTTAACTCAACTCCCCAAGTTTTGGTTCACCACTGCTGTGGTCTGGTATTGAACTCACAACTCTTTGGGTCTAGTCACTGGATCTAACCAAAGTCTTTATCCACTGGGTCATGTGTCCTTGAGGATATCTGTGTATGAATTTTTGGGACTTATAAACCTAATGTCCCATAATCATTTTTTACCAGTGCTCATATTGCAATTTTTTGTTATTATTATTATTTCATTTTTTACCAGAGCTTATATTGCAATTTTTTTGTTTTTATTCATTGCTTTTCTGTAGCACTTCTTATTACTGGTTCCCATATTGTATTCATACCTATGCTTGGTCGGTTCAAGAGATTTTTGTGGCCTAGCATATGTGCTGATTCATTTAGTTTTTGTATTTTCCACTAATGTATTTTGTGAGGATTAAGCTCTATCTTCACTGGCTCTCTGTTTCAGTTGGTCTGGCTAATGATTATTTATGCATAATATGCACTCTTAAATGGTAATTATTTATGCATAATGTCTACTCTTAAACTTGGGCTATATAATTCTGTAAAAAATATCCCTTCTGCATAAACCACATATAACAGACATTTTAGAATTTGTAGCATTTAAATTTAACATTTATTCATGAATTTATCTAGTTCATATTGACTGAAAATAAAAACTTTATAAAAATTAACCTTATTTACCGAGTATTCTAAACATGTGAATATGTTAATACAATATCGCAAATCTAGTGGAAAGCGAAGACATGGATTACCACAAAAGAAAAATTGGGTTAGTTGCTTTCATTTTGATAATAAAACTAGCGCTGACTTGCCAAATGTAAATATTTACATTATTTACATGTGTGAATTTTTTTTTAAACATAAAGTAAATTAGGATTGCTTGGGAATGTTGTAAACATGGATGTGTAGGTGGTGTAATAGATAACAGCTTGGAATTGGAAATCGGAGAACTGAGTTCCAATTCCATTTCGATTCATTATATTTATTTATGCACAAATACCCTTGGGATTGGTATTAATATACTCCCTCACCCACCCTCGCATTCTTACAATCTAAAAAAATACTTTCTGGCTTTAAATAACGTGCAAAGAGTTGTTAAGCTGTAAAAAACAAATCCATCAGTCTAAAATGAGGTACACATTGGCAGTTGCTTCTTCCTTCATGTCGTGGTCGATCACAGCCCTCCACAGCTTCCTTTTCTTTGTAGCTCTAAGCAAGATGTTGATTCTAATCTAATGGGGAATGGCTGTAAAATACTTGCCTCTCCCCAATTTATAGGCAGAAGCACTTATTTCTTACTAGAACAAATATAAATCAAAAGTCCGTTAAATTTATTTACATAGTTATCAAAATGTAATCATTATCGTTTTCAATGATTGCTTTCAATCCTAATGGGGAATGACTACAAAACACTTGCCTCTCCTCAATTTATAGACAGAAGCACACAAATGCATGCTGGGATTTCTTCCTAGCCAATAAAACAGACTAGTTCTCAGTTTCATCTGACTCAGTCCCGGTCTGTCTTGTCTTGAAGTCAGAATGCTATGTTTGTGCGTTCAAACTGCCCTTGTGTGTTAACACCAATTAGTAGTTTGTGAACCTTTTGCCATATTACTGTTAATTTGCTTTGCATATACTGTTTGCTTGCTTTATATTATATTTTTGCCTTTTTCTTTTGTTTTCCTTGTTATTGCTAACATTGGTTTTCTGCATAACATTTCCTGTTGTCTGTTATTACACTAACCAGTTTGATGGCTCCAATTAGAATTTCACACCTTCTATTTTCTTCTTGATTCATTCACTATCCTGTTGTGGAGTTCTTATCAGCTACAGAATTGTAAAGATAGATTTATCTAAGATCAAATTCTGGGAACAAAAATTGTCCCATTTTATTTTTCTTTTGTCTTCTAGGTGGATCCGCTTTATAGAGTAAAGGAAATCTTCCAAGAAAAAAAAGTTTTTGAGAGAGACCTATCCCTAAAAGAGAAAATTGAGATCTTTGCTTTGGCAGTTGAGGTACGTATATGAATTTCTTTTTCTTTTTTTTTTTTGTTATAACCTTCTCTGGTGTAGATGTGTATATACATTTTTACCGAAAGTGTATTTTTTAGACATGGATGAATAGACACATCCAAAACATAATGTTCAAAAACCAGCTACAGCTTTATACATTGATCTTGATTTTTTTTTATGCCGTTCTGAGCTTGAAATGAGTCCAACTGTTGACATCGTACATCTGGTAGAAGTGTTAGGCACTGTTTGCGTACTTCAAGGTGCCTTAGTTTTTTAGTTACTATATGAAAAAAAGATAAAAAAATGTGTCTGAGAATGAAACATTTTCCCAAAATAACTGGTAGAGAAGGGGTTAATGGTTAGCAAAATAAATTTTTATCAAGGAAAAAAAAATTGTAGCAGTTTCTCTTTTCATACACTGACCTTGAGCTTTTCAAACTGATGTGTCAAAACACTTTAACCTTTATCACTGTATGTGACTTCATTTATGGTGCAAAAAGGTTTATCTTGCTATTGAAGTTGACTGATCCTTGAATTTGAATTTGTTTGAATTTCATAGTTGTGTTGTCATATCCTGCTATGGCAACAGAAAACACCTTTGAGTGAAATTAACAATAAGGATACTGCAATTAAGAGGCCTTGAAAAAAGAATGCAATGGGAAGGGAGGTAATTTTTTGTTGAAACTGAGAATTATACTAATGTTCACCCAATACAAGGCCCAAGAACCACTCATGGTAGAGGGTTACTGAATGATGTTGTATGAGCATGGGAAGAAGAGGAGGAGGTAAGAAGTGTAATTTATGAAGTTATGTAGAAGAGATAACAGTTAACCTGATACTTGAAAAGGTTAAGATTATAGTGATTGGGGAAAGTATCCTCTTGGGAGTTTGTTCCACAAAGTAGCAGTTCTTTAGAAGAAGCTCTTCTAAGTGGAACTTCTTCTTACTAATGGAATATGATATGTCCCGAAAAGGGATATATTTGTTCAAAGTAGCCAAGTGGTTGTTGACTACTGTAACAATCTAGGACAATCTAGCAGGTAACTGTAATGGACTGGTCCTCATCGTAGGGGTAGGTAGGCGTAGACGATAGACGTAGTCCATGTACCTCCACATCAGTCTGTATTTATGGCTGACACCAGCCAATCATATTACTGTGAGGGGGAACCCAGGTGTATGTATATTCATTACATCAGAATATGAAGGTAATGAGGTTAGTTGGTCAGTTTCATGGAACCTTGTCCAAATGAGGAAATGGAAGATCTCAAAAATTTTCAAAGAGTTTACTGAATTTGGAATCAAAATGAGTAAAAATAAATGAAATCAAATATTTCTCAGACAGGAAGGGAAACAAATACTGCCATCCTCACCTTCAGATTTTATCCTAGGATTCGAATCCCAGAGAATAATTCAAAATTCTGCAGACCAAATCATCTGAAAAACTCCTACCTTCCGTAAGCATGGCTGATGCTAACCTCCAGTAGAGTGATTCATTGTGCCTACTTTGTCTAATGTTAGTGGACATGAAGTGGAAAGACTATATTGAATTCATTGCTATGCTAGCTGCTAAGAAATTTGATTCACTGTGTTGTGCTAGACAATTTTTTCCCTCCAGAATTTATCTTACATATTTATAAGTCTACCATTTGTCCATGCTTTGAATATTGCTGCCATATCTGGTCTGGTGCTCCTGCTATATATTTAGAGATTCTTGATAAAATCCAAAGAAGAATCAGCAATATGATCTGACATCTCAGCCTTGGTCACTTTCCTACTGCCATAAAGTTGCCTCCCTGTGCCTTTTCTATAAATATTTTCATGGCAATTGCTCAGATGAGCTCTTTGCAATGGTACCTAGACTTTATGAATTTAAGTGTAGAACTAAACTGGTGGGCATGATCTCACCAATTTACAGTTGAATCAGTTAGATGTAACCATAAGTTCTATGCTAACAGTTTCTTTTCTCACACTTCTTGCTTGTGGAACTCCCTTCTGGCTCTGCTTTCCAGCCAAGTTTAATCTTAAAAAATTTAAATGTAATGTCAATTCCTATCTATTGTCTTCCTGATTACTCTTTTTGCTTTCACTCTTTAATAACATCTCTGTTTTCCAATTTTTTCATGCCCAGTAACCCCTTATGTCTTAGTGGCTTTACTGCCTTGCTAGGGGCGAACTCAATTAAAAAAAAAAATTAAAAAAAAAGTAAAAATGTTCAAAATGCTAACATCAGGTCACCTCTGACTTAAATACACTATTTTTTTTATTTTTTTATTTAGTTTTGGCTTATAGCTATATCATGTTGAAACACCAGTTGATCACTGAAGTTAAGCAATGTCAAACTTGGTCAATATCTAGATTGGTGACCACTTGGGAATACCAGGTGCTTAAAGCTAGGATATATGGGCAATGTAATGGTTAATGGCTTGGAAATGGAAATCAGAGAGCTGAGATCCAATTTCAGTCAACTTCATTATATGAACATATGTACAAGTACCCTTGGGAAAGGTATGAATTCACCTCTTCCCCCAGCTATGGGTTAATTAGTAGGACTTGTATCAGTAAATCATTATTATCTCCAAATTCTTAGAAAAAATATTTTCTGGCTTTAAATAACCTGTGAAACTTTGATAAGCCCTAAAAAAAAATTAATCAAATTCACTTGGTCTCCTTTTTTGGAACGGTAGGAGGGATTTCTTCCTCACTTATATGACGACTTCAATAAGTTTTCTGTGTTTTCACACTCTTAGCATTGTAGGAAAAAATGACAAATTGTTGATCAATGACATATGTTTTTCTGACCCCTATAGGTGTTGTAACCCCACCTCCCTCCTCCTATACACATGAAATTTGATCTGAATAATCAGTTTTAGTTTTCTGTATTTACAGGCTGCAGAGAAAACTACAGAATCCACCAAAAACATGCAGGCAAAAGCTGGGCGTGCTAGTTATGTGAGCAGTGACCTTTTAACCAAACCTGACCCTGGAGCTGTGGGTACGACACTGTGGCTCAGAGCCATTTTGGAATCAATTTCTGAGAAAAATGAACAATAATATTCACCCACCCTCAAACACAGGGGAATAATTTTCTTCAAAACCACTTAAGGAAGGATTTTAAATGTTAAAAAGATTTACTTTTGCTATTATAAATCAGTTTCCCACGAGAAAATGTTTACTGAACAACGTTTATATTTTAAAAGAAAAATCTTGGTAAATATAAATTTTGTACATTTCAATTAAATTTTAAATATACTCTAAATTTGAAACTACATTTTCCTCAAATCATTTATTTCACTAATGCTGTAACTATATTCAGGAAATTATATATATATATATATATATATATATATATATATATATATATATATATATATATATACTAAAAAACCTAATGAAAACCTAGGTTCTGACTTATTAGGTTTTTTTAGTTTTACTCAACTCAGTGTATTGAGCAATTTGACATTTTAATTTAAGCTACTCTGTTTGGATGCCTAGGTGCACTGAGGAGCTGTGAAACAGTTCTGTCTGCAAATCACACACACATATATATATATATATATATATATATATATATATATATATATATATATATAATTAAATTCCCAGATCAATTCTGTGGACAAGAAAATTGGTATAAAATGACAATTGGAAAAAATTCATTTCATACCAATTTGTCTTGTCCACAGAATTGATCTGGGAATTTAACTGTAGTGTTGACATGGAAAAAAAAAAATCTCTTAGTATAAAGGAAATTTACATTAACCAGAAAAAGGCTTACACAGAAGCGTCTATCTTTTTAAATTTGGATTTTTTAATGTAACTATAACAACAAAGACATTTTGATTTCATTTTTGCCTTAAAAAAGTCGGAAGACAAAACGTGTCAGCAAAATCTAAGATTTTTTTACAATTGTCATTTTATACATATACATATATATATATATATATATATATATATATATATATATATATATATATATATATATATAAAATAAAGAGAAAGAACAAACAGATTAAGAATCCACAGTTCTTTAGCATTACCTTTTTTAAAAAAATGTGCTTGAGACAGTGTAGGGCATAATATTTTAATAATATTTTTATTTAAAAAATATTTTACTTCGCAACATGGAAATTTTTATGTTTCGGAATTTTAAATTTGTTCCATTATCAAGTGATGTTAGGTAACATTTGATGAAAAAAATCATCAAAAGTTGCCTAACACCAAATAGCCTAACCAATAGAACGTGGGACAATCTAGACTGACCATATCTCACTAACATTCTATTCAGGTATCTGGCTATTCTGGTAGACAGCCACACAAGAGCCCACATCCTGGGTAATTGACCTGGTATCTATCAAACTCGCCAATCAGATCATCCAAGCTATGATTGCCTGACCTCCTGCTAGCTCTCCACCCCTGTAGGGCAGACCTGGCAGCCAAATCAGCTTTGGATATGAATGTGGATACAGGGATCAAGGTCCCATATACAGATTTTAAGGCGGGGATAAATATATTTTTAAAATATGGCAAGAGTAATGGGATGATAATCCACAGAATAAACTCTATGCAATCCAGCCCAAGATGGCAGTTAGTAATACATTTTTCAGGACGTTTTGAGAAGAGGAGGTTGTAACAGCCTGCTTGCACATTGACCATACGAGAATGATACTCTCTTTCCTACTACCTAAAGAAGTTCAAGTAAGTAAAACAGTATTATCCATTAAACATATTTTGACAGTGACCAGAACCAGCTATCTCAAGTACTGATAACATTGTAATGACAAAAATATGCAGGTGTAGGCTTTACGAAAGCTTTATTCAATTGAGAATACAATGTTTGTGTATAGTGTCCTTTTATAGTCCCAGTAAACAGAAATAGTTCTCTCAAAGTGGAGAGTAACAAAACAAGGGGAGACCGCTCTTGATTATTCATAACAAGCATGTTTGAGCTATTGTCCTTTGATAGGTTTTTTTTTTTCTTATAGTCTTACAAAATGTCCTCCTCATCCCTAAAGAAATGAGGCTGTGGAGATAGTTGCTAACAATCTGACAAAATGCCCCAAGATGTGAACAACATATTGGTAACATCAAAATCAAGCCATTACAGAAATTTAACTATTTGGCTAGCATACGATGTAAAATGGGACATAAATTTCTGAAGGTGCATAGCAATAGCAAATAATGCCTTTCAGAAACTAAGCAAAGTATTAAGGAATAGAAAAATGACATTCAAAACAAAGAAAAGAGGGCTAAACTGTTATGCAATATTATTTCGTATATAGTAGTGAATGCTAGACAAACTCCTAACAGATAAAGAAGAGATGTGAAGCGACAGAGATGTGGTTCTACTGAAAAGTGTCCTTAAAAACAAAGAAAAGTGTGTTGGATAGCTATGTAATATGTAATTTCGTATCAATCACATCAATGAATGCTAGACAATCTCCTCACAAAGAATGTTCTGAGGGTCCCATGGACTGAATAAATGAGCAACAATGAAGGTTTATAGAAAATGGAAACAAAAAGGAAACTTATACATAACATCAGGAAGAGACAGTTGAAATTTTTAGGGCACATGATGAGGAAAGTAGGCTTAGAAAATCTGATACTCACAGGACATATTGAAGGCAAGAGAGACATAGGAAAACAACACATAACATACTTAGTGAGCTTGAGTAAATGGGTGGCAAAACAAGGTTTATGAGATATAGAAAATAGACAAAATTTATTAGGAGCTACAAAAGACAGGAAATTGTGGAGAGCCATGATCATCTACGTCTTGAAGGGACACGGCACATAAAGAAGAAAACTCATCATCAAGCAATGGTTTACAAACAATTCTTTCAAGTTTTAGTGATTTTCCAAGCATAGCTCAGATGTGGCACAAGGCTGAAAGTATGAGGCACCTAGTGAGGATCGAACTCACTACTCACTCGTAATATTTCTAGCGAGACAAGCTTACTAACCATTACACCATCTCGAGGTGCTCAAATTCTTTCAAGTTGTAACGAGTTTCACAGAGTTCATTTTGATTGTGGACTTGTGTAAGTGAAAGATAAATTTATTAAATTTCTACTTTTCACTTCTTGGGTGATCATAGTCTTCCACAATATCCTATCATTTGTTGTTCTAAATAACTTTTTCTCCTCTATCATCCTCTTTGTTCATCTAAGGCTTCCAGCATCTCTATTAGAATTCCGTCTGGCCCTGCCGCTTTGTTTCTTTTCAATTTAGCCAGTGCTGATTCCACTTTGGATTTAAATATTTCTGACCCTTCGATATTTCTGTGTATCGCCTGTTGTTCTCCAATATATTTGTTCCATGTTTGAAGTATTTTTCTTTCTCTAATATCAGCATTCCGTCCTTGGAATTTATGCATCCTTTTGATGATAATGTCTTTTGTCCTGTTCTCTTAATTTTTTTATACATATCTGCATTACCTGTGATACATATTCTTTCTACTTCTGCACATTTTTTGTTGAGCCATTTCTTTTTAGCCTACCTGCATTTCTTTCTTATTTCTTTGTATACTCTATTCTAGATGAATATAAAATATATGGGTCAGTCGTGTCTGAAGTGCCAGTAACCTATTCAACAAAACAGTTGCCTTGCCTTCATGATTGTCTAAAAGTCTTAATAGCAGGAAAGTAAATTTATCAAATTATTTTGTTGATACTTGACGCTAATACATGTGAAGAAGTTGAATAAGGCCAATTAAGGCGACCGAGTCTCAAATTACACTTGTACAAGTGTTAAACTAAATAAATTAGTTTTATCCAAATGTCAATTACTGTTGCTACTGTTGAAGATTCATTAACGTAACAGCATTCTTATTAGATGTGTTCAGCACTTAATTTTATAAGCATATGCCCTTGTATATTTTATTTAACTAATGCCCACCCAATACAAGGCCCAAGAGCCACACAAGGTAGAGGGTTACTGTGTTTAGTTATATAAGCATAGGAAAGGACAAGCATTAGAAGTATAGAGCTGAAGCAGAATATTTAAAGGAACCAGAAGTCCAATCTTAAACAGGAAACAAGGGATAAACCCCCTACTCCTGTTCAATAGACTGGAGAGGATATTGAACCAGACGATAGGCAAACCTATCTACTCCTGGATAGAAACACATTCTGCATTTCATATTCTGAGAATTTGAACAAACATAAAATGAGCTTGGCTGATAGGATATTGGCTCTTCCTAATTTGATAGGGGCCAAAAGATCAGTCAGTTATTTAAGTGTCACCATGTGATACACGCTTGGGAGATTATGTCTGTTTCGATTCATGACTGACTAGGTAGAAGATTTTTCTGTAGTAGTTTGTCATTTCTTTCTGTAGTAGACTGGTTGGCAGTCAAGGCTATTAAATTTTCTGGTATTAAACCCATAATTAGAGGGAGAAGAGATGGGTTCGTTCCTTTCCCAAGAGGACAAGATAATGATTCAATATATATATATATATATATATATATATATATATTTTTATTTTTTTATTTTATTTTATTTTATTTTTTTTTTGAACAATAAAAAAATATTAAAAAATTAAAATCTTCAGGCACGCTGGGTTGTACATTAATATTCCTTTGCTTTTATTATTATTTCATTTAGATTCCTCTACTAGTTTCAGCCAACATGGCCATCGTCTGGAGAAAAAAATCATTTTCTGCTTGCTGGTAGCAGCGAACTACAGAAATGAATGTCTTGATGGAGAAAATGATCTTTTGACTGTAGTTTTCATTTATTTTTTTATTTTATATATATATATATATATATATATATATATATATATATAGGATTAATGCTTTGATACCACAAAATGAATAGATAGATTTTAATAAACACAATTTTATGCTCATTTTTGGGGGGGACCTAGACAACCTTTCAGCAAACGCTTCTTCAGGGGCCGATCATTGGCACAACTGAAGTAATGAGAATTAGACTGCAAATATGCAGGAAAATTCTTGGAGATAAGACTGGAACATGTCTAAAACAGATTTACCATTAAAATAAATCCGTAAACTTAAGAGAATAAGTAAATGAACCAACTAGAGGATA